TTAAACTCCGACATTTAAAGACCCTGTCTTCAGCTGACCTACAGTCAGACTTTAACGACAGGAAACGGACCAGGGTCAACCACAGTCAACCAGTGTTTCAACACTGCTGCCTCCATCAGTTTGAAACGGTTATTTTGTGACCTCAGTTTTACAAGCTGACCACAGGAGGCAGCGTAGCTTCGGTTTGGGTGGTTTACAAAGGCCAGTTTCCTGTTGTTAATGTTTGTCTTAAAAGGATGAAGCTGTTGTTCAGTTTGTGACACACTGATTTCTCTGATCTCTAACACACGTGTCAGGAGGAACATCATAACAAAGGACACAGATCCAAACCCAAAGTTTTACCAAGTGACTCCGGCTTTGGTCGACAGAGGTGGCGGTGGGCGGCTGACATTCTGGGTTAGTCTACACCTTTGATAAAAGAAGTGAATCAAAGACATTAAAGATGTGAGGAAGACATCAAGCACACATTCTCACATAGGACATGACATCATTAACCCTGGCCTCTTACATCATCATCTTGCAGCCTCCATGTTGCTTTTTTCATGTGTTTTTGTCATAAAAGTTAACAGATTGAATTTCACATTTAAAGATTAAATAATACATGATCAGGTCACAGGATTTTAACATCATCAGCGTAGAGTGTGAGAGAGGAAACTCAAACAGCAAAGACAGGAAGTGAAGTCATCAGAACCTTGTAGAACTCCACGTGGTCAGGTGACCCTGAGTCCAGGTTCTACTCTATGTAGCTTCAGTCCAGTGAACCCCTAAGGTCTCTGTGATCAGATCACTAAAATAAAACACACAAAAATCCAGTACAGGTAGTCCTTAATCTGGACCACTCCGAGGGAGCCTAAAGTGGACCACGTGTGACCTGGACCACCTGGACGTCAGTCTGTCGTAGACCAGACCGGTCAGATCTGGTCACTGATGTTAGTCACATGTCGACGACACCACAGGGTGAGCCACATCTACCAAACCAGTGTCACATATGCTTGGCGTGTTGTATCAGATCATCCTGATCATCCTCTGACCCCACCTGTGAACTATGACCCCACCTGTGAACTATGACCCCACAGCAGTGAGTCAATGACACTGCAGGAAAAACATCAATCAGAATGAACTCTGACACAAAGTAGAAAAGAATGTTTGACCACGTATGTGATCACAGCACACACACACACACACTAACACACACACACACACACACACCTGTCGTAACATTCACTTTAGCCCTTTGTGGCGGCCCTGTGTCAGAACCGTCTTCTCTCGCTCTTTTTCTCATGTTGTGTTGTCAAAGTGCGTTTCTTAAAAAGTGGCAGCAACAAGTTTCTAACAGTGATTTTTATGTTTGATTTATGAGACAGTTGTTAATGTTATGGCCAATCACAGCACAACACACAAAACACACTCACTTCACACACAAATAAAAATCACATCAGGAGGTAAAAAATGTCATCAGACATATGGCCATATTATATAATCAATTATCTAAATGTGTGTGTGTGTGTGTGTGTTCTAATCAGACCCACAGTCTGTAGTGGTACAAAATCTTCCATCTTGTTGTAAAGAAATGTTTCAAGTTGACAGTGCCAAAAGAAGAACTTCAGATTCACACTTGACCTTTGCCCTGGCTCGTGGCCAAAGTCCACTCCCACAGATCAAGAAGAAATAAAACTGGAAAAACGATGAAAAATGATGTGTCAGGAAGTGGGAGAAGCTCTGATTAAAGGCAAATATCCTGAAACCACTTTCACTTTCAGCCACGTTTCTCAGTGAAGCAGTTTTTTTTTTGTTTTTTTTTCTGCAGCCAAACAAACAGTCATAGGAGCTGGAGGTAACGTTTGATGGGAGCAAAGAGAGTTCCTTTGATGTACCTTAGATCTTTGAAAAATGACTTTTGGGTTGGTGGTGTGAATGTTATTCATCCGACACTGGTTGGCCCATTGGTCGTCCAACCAACCTCAGTTCACGGACAGGCCTGTGCTGCCTTCACAGACCCAAACTTTGAAGACACAAGTCTTGAAATTTTATAAAACATGTCAAATTTTGTAGAGAAGAATGTGTGGGTGGTGGCGCTCTGACCCAGACAGAGGCTGCTCCACTGTAGACCCACGAGAGACAGACCCGGTCTCTAGGATTGAAGAAACTAATCTTTTTTTGCTGCTGTGGCATCAAGTTTTCTGGGATACTGTTTTTGTTTTATTACATCATTTGGTTTAAAAAAAACATGTTAAGGCAAACTGAAGCTAACAGGTTTTATCTGGTTCTCAGGAAGAAAGGACATTAGTTTGACCTTTAAATCTTCCTTTGAAGAATCATTCCTTTGAATAGTCCTTCAAAGGAAGTATTCTGCCTTTGAAGAATTCCTCCCACACAGCATTTAAAGGAGGAGTTCTGTCTGGGCAGCTTGGACAGATCCAAAAACCAGAGAAGGGTTCTTGCCTTGGAGAAGCACCGACCCTTGTCCAGGACTTCATTTCATTCACTCTTTTGTCTCAAGGATCCTGGAGCAGCTGACTTTCAGGAAGGACTTTCCAAACCGTTTTTAAAGAATCTGACTCAGACTTTCCCACAATCCTTTGTTTCTCTTCTGCAGTTCATTCTGTGGCAGCAGACCTTAGAAGCAGCTGTGCTAAAACCTCCACCTCCTCCACCTCCTGCACCTCCTCTCACGCCTCACACCGTCACCTCATTCTTACTCCCTGTGCGGAGTCCTTGTCCTCCTGCTGCTCCTCCTGGGATGAAGTGCAGCTGTTCAATGGTGTTCTGCCTCTTGGTGGCGAAAGCCATGCGTCGGGGGTTGGGGTGACCCCCGATGGCAGCGGTGCCACGGCCATCCCACCCTCCGTGCATGCTAAGGCCCACTCCCACCCGCACAACGGAGCCAGGATCGTGGTCGTGGCTGGAAGTGGGATGCGAGTTCATTTTGATCATGTGGTGTCGGTCCATTGATGGCGTGACGCAGATGTTCTGCTGCGACTGAGCTTTCTGGTGGTGGCTGAGTCGGCCCATGGTGGGAACACCTC